ATGGATGTCACAAGAGAGGTTACCATACAACTCATCAATTATACAAAAATCGGTATATATAATCTAGAATTCTCAAGTTTAAAAACCATACTTGATTAATGTTCTGTGAATAAAAGACGCATTAATGGAATGAAACAAAGATTTCATGTTTTTGGTTGTGGTTTAAGTCTTAAGAATTTGCGTCTGATAGCTTCTTAGAGCTAACAGAGTATAGTCGTGAAGAGATCCTGGGAAGAAATTGCAGGTAAGCGATCCCTTCATAGATTTTCAGTAACAGTTATTCAAATCTACATAATATAATTATATGCGTACGACCATGTCTTAAAATGGACCATTTAAATGCTTTTTTCTGCATCTTTTTGGTGATGGATTATAATCTTCTTACATCATAATTTTTTTATGTTTTTTTATCAGAAGATTTCTTCAAGGGACATAAACTGATCCATCGACCGTCAAAAAAAATAAGAGATGCAACCGATAACCAAAGAGAGGTTACCGTACAAGTCATCAATTATACGAAAAGCGGCATATATAATCTAGAATTCTCAAGTTTAAAAACCATACTTGAGTAATGTTTTGTGAATCAAAGATGCATTAACGGAATGCAACAAAAATTTCATATTTTTGGTTGTGGTTTAAGTCTTAAGAAAACTTGCTTTCCTAGGCACTAGGCGATATACTTACATAGATGCTTAACTTGTTTAAATGTTGTTGATCACAAGTTCCTCCATAGTCCATATCTTAGTCGTAGTCAACATTTTGATTTTCGAGAATCATATGAGTTACCTCCATTTTATGAATGGTATACTTATTGTAAATGATGGAGTTTGAAGCTCAGACTAGATATATGATTGTTAGAGCTTTTTATTTGATTATGCAAATTAAAAAAAGCCTAAAATCACATTGAAATTTTTATCAATCAAAGATATATATTTGAAAGCAAGCAATCAAACTCTTCACATAGATGAATAAGAAGATAGGATAGTCATCTCTGAATTTGTTAATTAGCAATGATACCCAGGTTTCATGTGTGTAAATTGTAGGAAGAGATGGATAGAAGGAATGGCTATTGGTGGACACCCGTCAGCAAATGTGTAGCATTTACTGAGGTAGATTCATCTAAGATACCTCTTTACAGGATCATGCACCAGGGTAAGAGTATAGTTGATTCAGAGGCTCAAGAAGAACATGCTTACCCTTTTGTTGGGGCCTCAGATGTCAAGGTTCGTCTCGGGGTGGTTCCTGTTATTGGAGGACCTGTGACTTGGATGGATCTTTGATGGGGGGGGGGGAATGAAGATGATGAATATTTGGCCAGAGTTAACTAGATGCATGGAAATATCCTCATTGCACAAGTATTAAACAAGTCTCATTCCAAACTGAAGATCCTCAAATGTGATATTAAAACAGAAGAGGGAAAATGTATCTTCGTTGAAGAGAATGACAAGTGGGTCAATCTACACGATTTCTTCACACATTTGGATAAAGGAGGTGGTTTTCTTTGGGCTAGCGAAAAAACAGGGTTTAGGCATCTTTATCTGCATGATGAAAATGGGGTCTGCCTAGGACCCTTGACACAAGGTGAATGGATGGTAGAACAGATTGTAGGGGTTAATGAAACCTATGGTTTTATATATTTCTTGGAAATGTAGATAGTCCTCTGGAGTGCTAAACTGCTCCCACAAAATCCATTAGAAAGCCCAGTGAAGTTGACCGGTGGCAAGGGAAAGCACGTGGTGGTGATTGATCATCAAATGCAAAAATTTGTAGATATTCATGATTCTCTGGAATCACCTCCTAGAGCATCCCTTTGATCTTTGCATGACAGAAGCCTGATTATGTCTCTTTATGAGCAACAAGTGTCTACAATTCCAAGAGTTAAGAAGTTGCAACTCAAACCTCCAAAGATTTTTCAAATTCAAGCAAAAGACGATACCATTTTATAAAGGTAAGTTTTCATAAATCCCTTGGTACAAAGTTTGCACCTTCCTTACAAACTTCTACTCAAGATTCAAAGCAACTATTATATAAAACAATGTCAAGTACCACTTATCACAACATGTGCAAGTTTGTTAGTCTTAATACCATTCCCGAAGGAGGGGTTTTAAAAAAAAGATCTAGCAAGATAGGCTTGGTTGATATCTATCCTAAAAGATTTTCAAACATGATTCGGAAGAATAATGAAATGGCTTTAAATTTAATAGAAGTAGCTTTATTATGTTACATCTTAGGGATCGTTTAGCTAAACACTTACCCTATAAGAGCTTACCTGTAAGATTTAACATTATCAAGGGTAATATTTTAATCCATAAAAATGTCATAGTATGCAATAATACCCGATAAGCACTAATTGGGTAAGAGTCGTCACTCTCGCTTACTAGGTAAGCCTATCGGTCCTTGCCATTGTTGTTACTAGGTAAGATTCTCAGTTTTTCACATATTCATCCAATAAGATAATGTGCCTTAGTAGTGCTTACTGAAGCATTTGGTGAACGCCCTCTCAAACAGGGACATGAGGTATGTGTTTTGTTTAACTTTAGACTTTAAATTCACACACTCTTCTCCCCTTTTGTTAAGAAGTTCACTTACTGCTTTTTGTCCAACACATCTTAAATGGTTTGTGTTTTTTATCTTTTATGGAGTTGTTTCCTTATTAGAAGCTATGCATATATGTTGTATTGGTTGTATTTATTGTTTTAAAAAACTCTCTAACTAGACTCTAGAACTTTTATGCTTATATCCGAGTAGGGAAAGAAGATGATCAAAAAGGTAATTGGAAGCTTGATGGCATAAACCGACAAAAATTCCCATTATTAACACGTTTGGCAAACATTATATGTAGAAGTAGAAATGTACCTAGAGACCATAACTATCAACTTCCATTGTTCATTGTAACATCATGCACAATAGGGAATTAGCTTACCTATAAGTAACCATCAATAGCTTAGTCTAAGCTTAAAATTTCTAATAAGGATAGAATGCTAGGGAGACTCAAACATTTGGTTTTGGAGGTCAAGAATGCCAATGGGGGTTTTAAAAAAGAAGATCCAGCAAGCTATGCTTGGTTGATATCGATTTTGTGTTTTTAGTTGGGTTTGATAGCCCAAAGAAAAAGATCCATGAAGCAAGTCCAAAGAAGCTATAATGATCTTTAACCAACAATTTATGCTCCAATTATGACATGTGCAGTAGCTTCTTTAGTTTATATGACATGTGGGAATCGCAATAATGCATTTTGTAATTCATTGTTTTCTTTAACATTTGGATGTGTAAAGTACATGTAGACCCATCAAAATCTGTATGACATGCCTGTTCATTCATTTGGTTATGTTGATTAGTTTGATTCAAACATAAGCTTCTTTCTTAATTGATTTGATTCAAGTTACATGAATAAATAAGTGTACATTGTAATATTATACATATAAATATATATTTTCTATTGTTACTCAATGAGTCAATAATATTATGTCTAAATACTATAAGAGCCCTTTTGATGTTCTTAATACAAATGTGAATTTCTACAGTGCTGATACACTAATTTAGTTGTGAATTTTGTTATTTATGTTGAGCAAATTGAGAGCTCCTTTCTAAATGCTAAAGGGTATAAAAAAATTCAATGAAGTCATCAATTAGCTAATAATTTAGAACAATGCACTTTTCTTATATAATACATTACAATTTTATTTTCTACAAGCAACAGGCTAATGAGTCATACATTAAGCGTGAACGGATTTTCAACCATCTTATAGTTAATTTTTCAAAACAAATATATTGCAACTCTTGATGTTCTTCATTAATCTATTTCAATGACTGCACGAAGTGAAGTACCATTATCTTCCCCCTTTTGTTTTTTGTTTTTTGTTTTTGTTTTTTCTTAACATGCTAAAACCTTGTACATCGCCACATTAACTATGAATTTATTTTGTTTTAAGTTTTCAGGTTGGCTATTCTATACGTTTTGAAGGCCCCCTCCGGTCGAATGTGATGGCACCTTCACCATGGTATTTTTTTTAACGTCAAATGGTATAAATTTGAACTGCTACCTCCATTTCCCATAAAATATGGACTTTGAAGTCGATCTCGATATCCGGATTAGCATTTTTGTTATTTTCATTTTGAAGATTGCAAATTGTTTTTTGTTTTAGGACTCGGGATATTCATCGAAGGAAAAAATTGATAACTTCCCATCTTTTTAAATTAAAACATAATTTGATAATTTCCTACTATAACCACATTCCATGTCACAATTTATTTGATTTTTCATTATAGAAGGCATTATTCGGCTTTCACACCTAATAATATACCGATACACACATATATGTTATGGGCTATTTAAATGTCAATAACATGTTAATTTAAATAATAGATTGCTACTTTATTTTTCTATATGCATGAATATTTGTTTATCAATATGCTTGTTTCCACATCCAATTTTTAGGAGTCGTAGAAGTATAGGGATTTACTGGGAGCATTTTGGGGCAAGGTAAGACTTGAATTGTCATATTGAGGAAGGTCTTTAACCAATTCATTTGTGCTCATTATTTTGTGGTGTGCAACTATCTTATGAAGAAGCTAAGGACATTATGTCTTTAAAGGATGTTAATCTGGTGGTACTGATCTGGTCTTCTCTCCTTTTTATCCAACTTCTTTGTAACCACAACTATGGTTAATGACACATGCTAATTTTCATTAATAGACTTGATGAATACTTTTTCAACTTTTCTTGTAACTGCAACAAAATTAATTATGGCTCTTAATCTTCATTATGATACTTGATGATGTTTTCTCAACTTTTTTGTAACCACAAGTAAAAATTAATGATTTTAAAACATTGTATTCCATGTTCCGAACATAAATAATAGTTTATTTACTTTCGTACTATCACTTGCATCTTTTTATTTTTGGAACTCAACATCATTTTAGATTAATGGAGTTCACTCATCTCAAAAAATCTCAAAAATGATAACAATAATTTCATCATAAGGATAAGGATTTGTAGAATGTGGGAATCCTTGAACAACAAAAAAGGAGGAGAATTGATTAGCCTTGACATGATTCTTATCGATGAAGAGGTAAGTGAAAGTGATTATGATTTTTTTTGTTCTACATATTTTCACATTTGCATATAGTTAACATAAAATTGATTTTTTATTAATTGTAGGAAAATCTGATTCATGGAAGCATCTGGAGCAGTATTGTCCCAAAATTTAAGAGTCTATTGCATGAGGGTGTTCTATATGAAATTAAAAATTTCAAAGTTGTTCCAAGTGATGGGAATTCAAGGCCTCTCGCAAATGATATCAAGATCATCTTCCAGAAATTCACTTCCATTAAAAAATTAGAAGAAGATATTTTCAGCATCCCTAAAAATGGCTTCCAATTTATTTCAGCCAATTTAGTGCACTCGCGTGTCAATGACGACACAATTCTATCAGGTATTTTAAACCCTTTGCATATTCCATTTTATTACTAAGTTTATGTTTATAAATTAAACTTCTATAGATTTTAGTTCTTAATACATTATAGACGTTATTGGATGCATACTAGTTGTTGGTCACATTGAAACTGTTTGAGTGGGTTGGAAAAAAAGAGATGTGGAGATTATTACTGATTAGTAAGTATTTAAATACTGAGTATACAGTATAATCAATAGTTGGTCGTAGTTATTGTTCACTACTTGTTTGATATATATGTTTATTGGTTTGTGAACAAACTATAGCAAAGACATTTTATTCTTGTACTATTTAATATGATTATTTTCATCTCGATTACAACAAGAGTTGCTTTGTGGGGTAAACTGGCCGAGGATTTTGATGTCACCACTGTGAAAATGAAAGCTTCTACAGGACCTGTCATTCTCATTGTCACATGTACAAGGGTAAAAACTTTCCAAGGTATATTTCGTTACTTATAAAAATCGATTCATTCATGGATGAAACATTACATCTCAAATTAATAAATTTGATTATATTTTCTAACAATGTTTGCTTATATCTTCACAATGGCAGGTATTATCTATTTTGCTACCACAAGCGCTAGCAAAATATTCATAAATTTAAGAATAAACTATGTTTCTTCTTTAATTGAAAGATTCACAACTGTTGCAAATGGAGTCCACTTTATAGAAAACGTGGATGAGAAAAAGCGTCGTGATGAAGATATGCTTCTAGAAAGGATGATTATTAATGACCTATTATGTGCTACTTGGGATAAAGGCATGAAGGTGCTATCCTAACTTGTCCAACATTCCATAATTTTTCCTTTTTCTCATACAGTAATAAAATGTATTAATAACTGCATCTTCTTTAATAATGTGTACACATTAGGTTCCCTTCATAATTGTTAGAGGGAAAATCACTAGCGTAGTGTCCTTATTGGGATGGTTTTACATGGGATGCAAAGCTTGCTACAAACAACTAACCACCATAAACGGTGGTTATTTTTGTGAAAATTGCAAGGCAGAATTTGAATTTCCTCTTGTGTTGTAAATCGATGTCTTCACCTTTTTACGTTATTTTATTAATGTTAGTTCACCGTATAAAAGATTTCATAGCCATTAATTTTATATGTATTATTTAGGTATAAAATACACATAAGAATCAAAGACGAAACTGGAGAAACCAGTTGTGTTTTGTTCAATATGGTTGCTGAAAGAGTGCTTGACACTTCATCACACAAATTGCTTAACAAACAACCAATAGGTAGTGACGATGTTCCAGCAGAGGTTCATACTCTCATCGGAAAATATTATGTCTTTAAACTAAAATTAAACGAGTATAATATTATACATGGACGCGGAGATTTTACAGTGACTAGCATATGGATTTCTGATGAGCAAGTACAAAAAGATTATGACACTGAAAATGTTGGAAAGGTTAGTTATATATTTTATTCATGCAACAACTTCTTTGAATATGTCATCACTTTATGCAATGTCCTTCTTTTTGGCTTTATTAGGGAAAAACACTTTCATCCAAATTTGAAAGCACTTCTCGGAAGGGGGAGAAACCGGTTGCAAAGGTTTGTATGGTTTTTGTAAATGACAATTGCATTTCAAATATTCTAAATCATTTGTGTTTTTGCAACAAAATCTTATCTTACCTGATAAATATCTTGTAGGATTTTACTTTTGTTGCTTCTACGGAGGATGAGAAAACAAGTGATGCTGAAACACATTCACCAACCAAGAAGAAAAAAAGAGTTGTTAAGGACGATGAGGAAGGTTCTTGCAACTAAACAATTGCTTTTATGGCGAATAAAATATCACTTCAATCTCCAATTCCATAATGTTAGATTATAGAAAGAGCTAATTTCTTGCAATATATATTTTTATTGTTACGTGTTCCTTTTATTTTTGAACCTGTTGATTGTAATAGATTGTTTTGAAATTCTATTTTTCTATTCAATCATTTGACTTGTACAAGTTTGTTTTGGTTGATGGGAGTGGGCACCGAAACACACACACATATATATATTAAGTGAAACAAGAACAAATAATTATCACTTATTATATATTGATGAGATATTATTGTGTATGTTACATAAGTAATAACATAAAACATGAGAAAATAATTATCATTTATTGTATATTTAAAACAGATTATTGTCATTTACCGTATTTAAAACAAATAATCATCGTTAACTGTATTTGTAATACAAATATTTGTTATAAGTATATTCTCAATTCCAATATTTGTCATTTACAAAAAAAATTAATATAACCAATAGTCATTTATTGTATTTTAAAGTTATAGCTAAATGGGATCTATATATAGTAGTCGTACTTGTAATTAATCAATTAATCTTTTCATATGATATTTTTTATCACCTACAGTTTTCTTTGCAATACTATAGCTTTTATAGACGTTTTGCATCTTGCTTCAACTCTGGAATCGTAGTGTGCAACAGAAGCATACCATTCTCTTTCTTCCAAAAGCCATTCTATTCATTATCCAGGTAAGCTTCTAACTAAATGATATTTGTTATCACTTCCATAGTAATCATTTTCTTCCAACTTTATTTGAGTTTTTATATACATGAGTTTGTCGTCCTTAATCTACAATATTTCAATCATATGCCTACTAAATCTTTACAATACAGTTATGTTGAATCATAAACCTTTAGGTGGTTGTGCTTCCATTTGGACCATTTTGAAAATTAAGTCCTAACTTCATGCATATACATAATATTTCCTATAAACTTACTTCCATTACTGTTAATATATAGCTTTTTTGTTCTTTTTTTGACCAGATATCAATAAACCAACCTTCGCAAAATTTTGAGAAGGTAGCCGTTAACAATTCGTCTTCCAGGTTATCTTCAATCTATTTATGCATAAAACCACAAACATGATTGTCTTTCAAACCTCTACATTTTATACTTAAGTTCACTTATTTTTAAGACAACCTTTGCATTCTAGATTGTATGTACCCGTTATGCTATTAACATTTAATATTGAGATTCAAAATGTAGATGAAATGTTATATATCGATGATAGAAATCTCGAGCAAGAGAAACACTCTTTATATTTACAATGGTTTGAATAACTTTTAACATTAACTGTTATTTAATTGTCACGTGAATATGTTAGTTTTTCATATAATTATATAAACTTTAATCTATTCCACCAATTTTTAACTCCAATACTCTCTTTCAAGGCATACCCTGTCATAAAATGGAACTATTTTACGCGTTAATTCAAGATAATGTACGTTTACCGGAGTCACAAGAGCATGTTCACAACCTTCAAAAGTTGTTCACGTGTATTTGTCGTCATCATAAAAAGCATAAGCGACAATTGGAAAAAGACCAACTTAGCTCTTCAAATGGAATGATGGGCAACAATTTACAATTTGTTAGAGACATAGTTAGAAAGCATGCACGACTGAATCGTAAGTTAATCATCATTCATAACAAGTACATGCATCGTCATTTGCACATAACTCTTCGAAGTCTTTCACAAACATTGAACTTTTTTTCAAATTCAACCGCCTACACCAACATCAAATATCTTGAAAACCGAGGTAAACCACTTATTCAAGTAATAAATAAGTTTTCAATTATGCTAACATCATAACACAACTTCCAATTTCAGAACTTTATTTTTCATATAGGAAATGGCCATAATACTAAGAGTTCTACAAACACCATAACTTCCCAAGTTGAAATACAAAATATCTCATACGAGTCTCATAACGTACAAACTAGAAATGCACAAGGTAAATATTATTTACTTAGAAATATTTGTTATACTGCTTTCATATTACTTTACGATGCTTACTTTCCCATTTTTTTTTAAATTCACTACAGTTAATTGGACACAACCATGGTATTTTAGACCTCCTACATACACTTGCCATCATTGTGGTGCAATGCTATGGTATGAGGAACGTAACACCAAAACTCGGAATATATCGCAACCAAAATTTTCATTTTGTTGTATGGAGGGGCGTGTTCAAGTGTCATTATTGAAAGAACCACCCAAATACATGCAATATCTCATGAGTGATGCTTCTAGGCAAAAAGGAGTTCAGTTTCAAAAAAATATCCGAACGTATAATGCCATTTTTGTGTTCACGTCAATGGGTGGTCGTATTGATTCATCTATTAATAACTCAAATGGCCCATATGTGTTTCG